TTATGCATCCCTCTGTTCCAAATGTCTTGTAACACCAGTTCATCTACTTTGTTTACTGAGACGTTCTCGCGTATAATCTCAATTTTTGGCTCCTACAAGATTGACCCAGATTCTCGGAAAGATATTAACAAATCCTGGAACAACTTTAAAAGATCATTATAGACAATAATTAAGTTTTATTAAGGAATACTTAAGTGGAACATTTAAATAAAAATGGAACATTTAAGTATTCCTTTTTATAATAAGCTACTTTAGAAATTTAAATATTATGTAAATCTTATAAGTTTTATTTTCAATACATTATGAAGAACTTTCTAATTGAATAAATACAAACTTCATTTTGTTGACTATACCTTCACCGCAGCCCATAGGATGTTTTTAAATTTATATTATAATAAATCTCATTGAACTCAACAGTTTCCCTCCAATTTTGTTTTATCATTTTAAAGTGTATTGCATGCTGCTTCAAGTAATATATGGTTGAATTAGGGTATTTGGAGAGAGATTAAGGCATTTTTAACCTGTAATATAACTGATAAATTAAATCCTACTATGCTAGGTTAGGTTTAAATTGTAAATTGTAAATTCAAAAGCCCACTAATATTATTTTAGTCATTTGTTAGAGAATTGTATGATGAGAATTTTATCTCAATATTCATACTTAATTTTTTATTCTCTACACCAACGTTTAGGCAATTTTTTTTTTTTTTTAATTTATTTATACATGATATTTACAACTGTATTAAAAAATTAAATACATTAAGTAAATTTGATAAAAGAAAATAAAAACATGAAATGACTTGTTGAGAAACTACCCACTGGTAGCACTCTAAAAACAAAATGTATTTACAATAAGAGATCTCGAGGCCATCTTCTTTTCAGACGCCTCGGAGGGTTATCGGGAATAGAAGAGGAAGCAAGGTTAGAGACGAGAGGATTCGGATGGTTCTGAAGTTTATTATGGAAAGATTGGTATCTGGATTGGGCCAAATCGGAAACATAAGGAACATTAAGGTCATTATGGATTATTTTATTGGTGACAAAGTAAGGAGCATTGAGGATTTTCCGAAGGATTTTGGATTGTAAGGATTGGATACGAGAGGAATTCGATGGCTTAGTGGAGCCCCAAAGCTCAACTCAATATGTCCAAATAGGCCTTATTATAGTTATGTATATGATTCTTTTGTAGTGTTGAAGCAGTCGGAAAGGTCGAGCAGTTTCTTGTCGTTTCAGTCTAGTATGAGGATTCCAAGTAAGACGTTTATCCAAATGGAGTCCTAAGTAGCGGATTTGCTCAACAGGAATAAGTGGAGTATTATTGAAAGTTACTGTAGGACAAGACGTCATAGGTTTACGACGGAGGGTAAAGGTGATTTGATGGGATTTGTTGGAATTTATTTTTATTCTCCAATTTTTACACCATTCTTCAAGGCTTGTGATATGTGATTGAAGAGTTTGGGATGCAATGGTTGGGTCATTATTAACGGATAGGACACATGTATCATCGGCATCCGTGGTAATAACAGTGTTAGGATGGGTTGGGATGTCAGCTGTATAAACTGTGTAAAGGATAGGACCAAGGATACTACCTTGAGGAACACCAGCGGACTGGGAAAAGAGGGATGAATAAGCATTATTGTGATTGACTTTTGAGTATCTATCAGTTAGATAGGAACGGATAATGAGGAAGTATGTAGGATGTAGGAATTTACGGAGTTTGTAAAGTAATCCCGGGTGCCAGACTCGATCAAAAGCCTGTTCTACATCGAGAAAGACTCCCGTGCAGTACATTCCGTGCTCTAATGCAGAGGAGACAACATCCACCACACGATGGCATTGCTGGATAGGGGAATGGGATCTGCGGAATCCAAACTGGTGATCTGGGATTATGTGATTAGAATCTTGGATTGGGTACAGGCGTTTTAGGATGAGTTTTTCTAGGACTTTTCCCATGACGGGTAAAAGAGAGATAGGACGGTAAGAGGATGGGTATTCTGGTGGCTTTTTGGGTTTATGTATCATTTTGATAATGGATAGTTTCCAAGGGTCGATAAAATATGTTGATCGGAGTACAGCATTTTATATATAGATGTAAGGAATAGAATGGCTTTCCGAGGAAGTAGTTTTAGGATCTGGGATGTAATTAGGTCGTGTCCAGGAGCTTTGCGGGAAGGTAACCTGTGAATGATGTTGGATATTTCTGAAGGATGAAAGGCTTTAGGAGGAGGAGTCATTTGGAGTGGGATATCCAGTTCTGCTTCAATACATTCAAGGTGATTTGGGTTAAGAATACCGGGATGTGGATTAAAGGTTTTAAAGAGGTGGTGGGCAAATATTTGGGATTTTCCTTTAGGCAATTTTAAAGAAGAAAAAAAAAAACGGAAAACCGGAAAAACGGAAAAAAAGAAGGACTGAAACGTTGGTGAAGAGAAAAAAAAAGTAGGACTATTGTGATTTATGAATGTTTTTATTATATTTAATTTAATTGTGTTAGCTTTCAACTCTTCAAACTCAAAAGCCCACTAATATTATTTTTTTCATTCGTTGATAATTTTTGGAGAAATGAGGGTCAGTCATATATTTGGAACTTGGTAATCGGAAATGGCCGAGACTTCCGAACTTCCTACATTTAAACTTATCAAATCATTAGCACAGTGCTTTTCTATTGTTACTTAACTGTTCACATGTTTCACTAACAAATAATTTTCAAAAAATAATTCCCGCGAAATGTTGAGGAATTACTCGTATATGGTATGTATAACCATTAATATTAATTCTTAATTTTTCAACGTGTTTCTTAATTCTTCGTCGATTATTATTATTATATCGGCGCAACAACCCGTTGCCGGGTCTGGGCCTCCACCAGCAACTTTCGCCAATCGTCTTTGTCCAGCCGCCAACCAATTGTGCACTCCAAAGATGTTCCGAGTGTCAACTGCAACTTTGTCTACCCATCTATGCTTAGGTATTCCTCTTCTTCTCGTCCCATAGAGAGGCTTCATCAAAAGCTTCATGGGCAACTCATCATATACCCCGCCCACCGCAACCGGCCCATTTTAACCATCTGAACGACATTTTGCTATTAAAATAGACCATAAATCTTTAGGTTCCACCCACCAACACTCCTCCGAAGGATTTTTCGTTCAAAGACAAGGAGAACCTGTTCATTACGTTTTGTCATAGTCCATGTTTTTGAGCAGTACATTAGCACTGGGCGTATTATGGTTTTGTAAAGATGTAATTTAGTTTGGTGGGAGAGAACTTTACCGCCAAGCTGTTTTCTCAGACTGCAGTAGCGCTGACTGGCAGAAATTATCTTCCTTCTAATTTCCATTTCTGCGATGTTGTCTTGTGTTATCATAGAGCCTAGATAAATAATTACGGTGACATACTCAAATCGGTAGTCTCCGAATGTCACCGTCTCATTGTGTCCAGGTTTCTTTTCGGTCACCATGTACTTGGTTTTCTCAGATGTTTTGGATACAGCTCAGAATTTTTCCAAAAATCCAGTTTTACATTTCATTAATTTAAACTTTTTTTTTTTAATTTGTCTGGTAATAAAAAATTATGAATTAAATTTGTATATTTCCTTTGATATTTTGGAGCCACCTAAAATCTTTTATATAACAATTAATTTTTTTTAGTTATTTGGCTATAATTACTTCCAATTAGCAACAATCGAATATATTTCTTATATTATCAACGTTAGATGTTAACAAGTTTACGTTTCGGGACATTTACTCCCATCTTCAGAAATACAATCCCAACGATCTTGTGGATGGAAGGCTAAAAAAATTTTTAGTTAAAATATAGTGCATGTTACATTACATCTCAGAATTTAGTTGTTACAATAAATTTATAATTACCTTAAAAATAATAATAATGTGCTCCATCGCCAAATTTCTGGATAATGTAATAAAATATATCATCTAGAGCAACATCTTGCTTTAGACCAATCATTGGGTGTCTGCCATAGTGAAATACAATTGACCTTTGGATCTGACTGTTTTATCTGAATATTTTTATACTATTGTTGTTAATGTTTATTTTATGTATCTTCAATTTCATTTCTATTAAATTTTAATTTTGTTTAATATGTCCGTATAATGAGTTCCTAAATGTTTAGTGTCTGTTTTATAATTGACTGTTGTTCTATTGATTTTTGTAATGTGTATTGCTTCAAGTAATTTCCTATAAGGTAATTACAAATTTATTGTAACAACGAAATTCTAACATGTAATGTAACATGCACTATATTTAAACTCGAAAAATTGTTTAGCCTTGCATCCACAAGATCATTGGAATTGTAGTTGTGAAGATGGGAGTAAATGTCCCGAAACGTAAACTTGTTAACATTTAACGTTGATAATACAAGAAATATATTCAATTGTTTCTAATTGGAAGTAATTATTGCCAAATAACTAAGAACATTAGCCAACTTCCCAGAAAAAAGAAAAAAAGAACAATTAATTGTTTTAAATTCATCTCTTATACTGTATATAAATTTTACTTACGGTAAAAGTAATGTACCGTACAATGTAAACCTAACCTGAAATGGAATTTTAACTTTTTTAAACAGTTTCGGTAAGGGTGAAATCTTTTTTGCAGTTGTAAGTTAAGGAAACAATTGGATATGGCACAAATCCTAAAAGAAAATTTACAATACATCGAAAAACTTTTAGATTCTTAAAAATGATCAAATTCTACAACGGAATGTAATTTGAAGGTGTTGCCAATGACCCTAACCTGTAGAGGCAACATAAAAATAAATAAATTTTACTTTGCCTTTCCTAATATTTCTGCTCAAGATAGGGTGGTAAGTGAAAGTTGTTTGATGCGCGCACCAGGCCAGATTTTGTAGACAGCGCCTTTTAGCAATAATATTTGGATGAATGTTTTTTTTTCTTTTTCCTGGACCTTTGTTATAAGTTAATTATTGTGATTTAAAATAATATAAAAGAAGCCGAGAGGAGGATCTTCTCATTTCGGTGCTCCCTCAGATGGAACCGGCGGCTGGTGGGGAGGAACTGGGCCAGGCTAGCCAGTCTCCGCAGCTTTCCCTCCATCTCAACATGATCATGCGTCGTACTCTCTGTAAGTATTATTTTATTTTTTGTCGCTTCAACCAATATCCTTTATTTATTTGAAAATATATATATGCATATAGGGAATTTTAATTTGGTATATATAAGCGGCTATATGATGATTTCTGATTTTAAGTTGTAATATACCGTGGAAACAATATTCAACAAAATTATTTAGAAATAAAGTGGGTCATCTCAGAACTTGAAATGAAATTTTAACTTTTTTAAATAGTTTTTGTATGGCTGAAATCTTTATTTTCAATATTTTTTGAGAATTACAACTTTCTCCCTTGCAACTTTTAAAATAAATGATTCACAGAACTTTTGTTTATAAAAAAAAATTGATTTGAAAATTCTGTTGATTTCGCCAAAAAGTCAATCTAAATAATGCCTTTCTTAACTACTCAAGCAAACGACACAGTAGAATCAAGTTTCATTTAAGATAAATTATAACTGTAATCTAAGCCCAATAACGTTTCATTTCTCCTTTAACATAACTTTATTTAAAAACATTAATAAATAAAAGTTAATCTTTAACCATTAGCCTAGAATTTTTTTTTAAAAAAGTTGCTTAGTTTTAAAAAAGTTTTACTTTAAAAGGTTTTATTTCATACAAACTGTTCCTGGAACTTTTTAAATTTCTATAAAAGATTTAACCCCTGAGTGATATTTTTATTTTTTAATATATCCTAATGTTTTTATTTTGTCAAATACCTAATGTAGGGGTGGGGGAGTAAAATAAAACAGGATATTTCTATTTACTTTATAACCGATATTTAAAAATTAAAAGTATCAGTCCATTAGATTTCTACAGCAACATCATCTCCAAATAGTATCCAAAGATATATAAAACCAAATAAATATTAATTATTTTATAGCTGCGGTGAGCGGTCTTATTTAGGCCTTTTACAAGTTCAAATATTCATGTTTCAATATTTATTCCGTTGCTACCGTCCTTCGCTATTTTTTACCAATTAGTGAACTCATTCCAATGAAATTGTATGCAAGTATAGAAAACACAGTTTTGAAAACGTAAGTTTAAATAAAACATCTTCCGTAGCGGGATTAGATGGGAGGATAACAAGTTGAATAAATCAAAACTGAATATAGTCGGCATTTTTATCGTTGTTTGGTTTTAGTGTGTAGGGGGGGGTTACATGATCTTCTCTGTTAGTTGAATAATTAATAACACGTTTTGTCACAACTAAGGTCATTAGTAATAGGGTAGTAATGCAGGAGTTTATTCATACTTTATGTACAATAAATAACGATAAGTTAAATTAAAAATACAAATAAATATATATAAGTAAAATTAAACTTAAACTAATCAAGATAACAACTTAAATACAGGCATAATTACATACAATATTTACAAACGTTCACTCAGGATAACGCCGATTCAAGCTTTCCCCAACACACGCGGAAGAAAAAGCAGAACTCAAGGAAATCTCAGCGCCCCTTTCTCTCAGCCGCGTCACTGGTAAAAACTTTATTAAAAACAAAATTTTTTTCATTTTTTTCTTTGTTGCGATTTGTGTCAATGAAATTGAACGCAGTTGGCAAAACATATTCCATTAGTTGTGGGTACTTCGAACTAACACTAATAAAGGAACTTGATCATATATAATTATTTTTTAGGTGTAAATATCAGGTCTTGCTTTCAATTGAGAGAAGGTACTTAAATAATATTTCAAAATAATCATGAAATCGATTTTTAACAAAAACATAACTGTTCGAAGAGAAATAAATTGATAAAAACTATCGGTCTATTCCTAAAAGTGAAAACCAGTCATTACCACAAATAAACCACTAAACATCTAATTTATTTCTTCAAGATATATTCGAATTATTACCAAATCATATGCCAATCACAAATTGTAATATTTTACAATATTGTAAAATTCCGAATCGTATTATTTGTTATAGTTATAAGTGCGGAGCATTACTGATGTAAAAAATATTTCATATAAATAAAAGAAAAAAAAATTGTAAGAATATTATTAGGATATTACAAAAACAAAGCCTTAAGTCTATCAAATACGATTAAATAACTAATCAGTGGGCCTTACCTCAACGGCAAGCATCATGAGGGCATAGAAACACAAGGTAAACAAATACGTAAGGAGAGAAAAGACAAGACACTTCATATCAACAAAGAAAAACTCCATCAACTAGGACAAGGGCTGCGCAATGTGAAACATTCCATACTAATATTAGAGCATTCTAATATCACTCAAAAGTTGCCTTTCTATGTCAATAACAACATCTTAAAATTTCGTTTATTGATATTTATATTTTGGGGTTCGCTAGAGGCTTAAAAACAAGAGTTTATAGAAAGTTTGGGTACTCTAATTTTATAATTAGCTATTTCGAAAAAGGTTACAAAATAAAATTTTTACCTAATATTTGAAATGCGAATTTCGATTTGAATTAATCTATTATAATTAATATTTTACTTGTAAGTTGTTGTTTAAACAGAGTTTTTAAAATAATAACGTATAAAATTACATTAAAAATCTGGTGCGCGCAACACACATCTTTCACTTACCCCTCTACTTTGAATAGAAATTATTTTCTGGCAATGTTGGGCTATTGTAAAATTTTTGAAGTGCATTTTATATGGAGCTAAAGCTTAAAGCTTACAGATAACAAGTCATTAAGACAATTAAAATTACAAAAAGTCTATTTATTTATTAAACTCCAATTACATTTTTAAGTAATGTCGTTTTGTGATATATCTAGTTGGAAAAATTATATCTATACAGACAGTGAGCAAGTTGATTCCAGAGTAGGTGATTGCAATGTTAAAATATAGAACTGTGAATAAAGGTATAAATTTTGCCAGTAGAAACATCACTAAAATTAATAATAAACAATGTTGAAATTGGAGTTAAGTCATTTTGTCAACCGAAAGGCTCATATACGCCTAGAGAGATTTGAAAATACATCTGAATATTCAACCTATAAATGATTATGTATTGTAGGACTATTAGTTATTAAACTGTTATTTTCCATTGTAAGGTTAAAATGGAATTACGAGATTTTCATTGCCTGCTATGATAGGTCAAAAGTTGTCACACTAATTGTAAGTGGATAATGTTGGGATTTCACAAAGGGAAAATTCATCAAATTATTCACTAATTTAATTTTTTAGATGGTTATTTGATGATTTTTTGGAATAAACGACCGATAGATACCTAATTATTTAAATATAATATCATATCTAGAGTTATTAAACTACAGCAAAAGTATTTAAGGTTATAAACATATCCATGAAATGTTTCACTACTTCTTTCACATAAGTACAATTAAATAGTATTTGAAACAATAGCATTGGAATGATTCGGTCGGTGGATTTTAATTTTTTTTTTCAAACTTATAAAAAAATTTAAAAGTTTACATTTAGTAAGAAAATTTCATTTGAAACATGTGATTTACGTTAAATAATGTTAGTTTTCCGAAATATTTATATTTTTTTCGTCGCTCTGCGTTACCTTCTACAACGTTATTCATTTGATATTATTTTTTCTAAAATTTTTCGCTTTCCAAAGATATATTATATGTATACCTTCTGACTGTTATTTCCGGAGAATCATTTTCAACACGAATATGCATTTTTCTTTATCTTATTTTATTTCGAATAATCATATTATTTCAAACTTCATATTTATCCATTTCTTTATAGTTACTGTCAATAAAAGTGAATTAATTTTTTTAAATAAACCATATTAAAGGTACTTTAGAAGAAGACGTATATGAACATAGGGCATTTTTTTTTCCATCTGTCACATTGAAGGGCAACAAGTAAGAAGGCTAAAATGTGTTCATTCATACCATATATACATTAAACCTGGCCAGAATCTATTTGTAATAATATTCCCGGAATAAATCGTTAAATAAATCTCAATAGTTATTTCGGAAATAATTTATTTCATGAAATAACATGAACATTATTTCCGAAATGATTATTTCTGGAATAAATTATTAATAACGATATAATTATTTCTAAAATGATCATTTCAGAAATAATGTTCTGAAATAATCATCCTGATAGCTGCAAAACGGCTTGAAATAACCAAATTAAAAACAGTATTGTTCACTTTTCTCAGTGTTTTTAGGAAAATACTGTCAAATTTGCGATTGCGCTCCTCCTCCTCCACCCCACGCATCGCTTTTTTGTAATTTACCGGATTTAATCGATATCAGGGTCGTCTATTATGTTTTGTCGTGCGATTTTTAGAAAATACTGTCGGATTTGGGATTGCGCCTCCCTCCCTCTCCATTGACTTTTTGTAACTTTTAGGATTTAATCGTTATCAGGTTCGACTATTATGTTTTGAAGGGTGCCTTCCATGAAAATACTATCGGATTTGAGATTAGAGATGGGCAAAAAGTACTAAGAGTAAAAATTACAATTTACAGAATATTTTACACAAATAATAACGCGATCCAAGTACTTTAATCACTACTCACCCTGATAAGTGTTATGGGGTTACAAAATGTCTATGGGGGGGAGGGGACGCAATCGCAAATTCGACAGTATTTTTATAAAAAGCGCTCTCGAAAACATAACCGTTGACCCGGATATCGATTAAATCCGAAAAGTACTCATTAAGGTAAAAAGTACTCTATTAAGATTAATATGTCTTAAACAGTCATTAAGTAAGTAAAGGAGTCTTAGGTCCGCCCAACCGCCGGAAACGAAAAAATGAAATGGCTGTCGGGTACACTGAGCCTCTACAAAGATTAATGTGTGTCAAACAGTAGTGAATATGAATTCAATAGTCCGCCTAAGCCCAGGAAACGAAAAAGGACCATTTGAAAAACCGAAATTTCTCTAGGGCACACTCATCCTTGATATCCTCGCCAGAGATTAATATATATCAAACAGCATTAAACAAGAAGTCTAAAGGCTGCCTAACCGCAGAAAACGATATGGTGCATATTGGTAAAAAAAAATATGTTATTTCAGAACAGTGTTATTTCTGAAATATTTATTTTATTGATTTT